GTCGAGGAGGGGGTGGGGGAAAGAGCTGTAGTTACTGGTATCCGAGCGCGGAGGCTGAGGCTAGTCTCTGTCCATACAGCGCATATGGCGAGTAGTAGGGTCCGGCTGTGGGGAGGGACGGCACCGCCAGGCCCCCAGCTGTGGATAAGTGGCTCTTGCCATAGGGGTGGTACCGGCTTAGCCCCAAAGTGTGTGGACTCCGCAAGGACAGCGACCCCGGGCTGCCCGGGGCGGAGGGCGGGGGGAGGTGCAGATGGCAGGAGGCGGCGGCTGCGGCGGCGGCCGCGGCGCTGCCCAGGCCCGAGGCCCCGGGGTAGGCAGCCAGGAGTTTCTCTGCGCCCGGCAGGGCCGTGTGAGTCCGGAGGTGGCTGAGCAGCTCCTCTGAAGTAGCAAAGCGCTTGTCGCACGGCCCGCCGGCCGCTACCCAGTTGCAGCTGTGCGGCAGCGGCTCGTTCTGCAGCATGAAGCCGTAGGTGTAGAGGGGGTGGCCCGGGAGCGTGGCCTGCGCGGCGCTGGACGAGAGCGCAGCGGGCTGCAGCGGGTGTCCGGGGTACACCAACGGGTAACCCCCGGCCTTCAGGCTGGGCCCGGCTGGGTCGTGCGCACTGCAAGTGGAGCAGCCCGAGCCTCCGAGGTGTGAGGCGCTGTGGTAACCTCCCAGGCAGTAGGGGTCGCGGCATAATCCCTGCAGGAAGGAGGGCGGGGAGGCTCCGGTGAGCGGGCTCGAGCTGGGGGGCTTGCCTGGTGGCAGGCCCAGGCCCCCCGACAGCTGGCCTCCCACGAGGCCAGACTTGCTAGGATCCAGGCCAGGCACGAACTGAGAGGGGTAGCCGGCGTAGGCGCCCACGATGGAGCCGTGGTAGCCGATGCTGGAGGGCGGCAGCGGGAAAACCGAGTGGCCCGGCTTGTAGGGTGACACTGGCGCCACGTGGCCGGCCCCCACCAGCGCCGACGGCGGCTCCGACTTGCGCCCAGAGGCCTCGGCGCCGCCGTGTGTGCCAGGC